TAGGCTGACGCCACGGCACTGTAGCCCGGGCAACACAGTGAGACTCTGTCTCAAAAAAAAAGAAAAAAAAAACCTCAAAGTACATAGGTATTTTACGGATCAGAAGACACGGCTGTTTTTATTAAACCAGCAATATTAAACTAGTCTTATTTACCAAAGATTTACCTTAGTCATGTGAGGCATTTGAGTTAGTTTTTATTTATTTGATTTAATTGCTTTTGATAAAATACTTGATTTAACTACTTTTTTCTTAAGCCAGTTAATTAGAGCGCTTTCATATATTTTGGTAGTGAAATGTCATGTACGTACGGCACATACAGAGACATAAAAACACAGACAGAAACAGATTTTATAGTTTTATAAGGTTCTTCATTTGCCAGTTTTCAAACAGAAGCTTCTAAGTGCCATTAAAAATGGTTCTCCCAGTTTGTTTTATTTTAGAGCTGCTTTTTCTAATTGAGCGAGCAGATAAACTAGGTCTCTCAAAGGTACTGCATTTCGGCCATTGTAACTTGGCGTCATCGTGAGTTACGTGAGACTCATTTTTTCTAAATATTTGCATGAAGAGGTGCTGCACGTACTTAACATGAATCCAGCTGGTGATTCTAGTGGTGGATTTCTGCTTAAGGAGGAAAACTCGGTTATATTAATAGAAGGACAATGGGCCACAATTTAGACTTTCCTTTTGAGTGATGACAAAGACCTAGTAGGAGGAATTTTGATTGCTCAAGAAGAAAGTTGAGATTTGTCAATCAAACCACGCTTCAGAATCTGGCCAGTTTTAAAGATTACAGATTTTCCACTTAAGCCACAAAGATTTCACTTTCTCTTTTCAGAGAGAAACTGAGAAACAAGTTAAGACTTTGGGGTGATGAGGCTGGAATATATGTATTTTGCATGTGAAAATGATAGGAATTTTGGGGGCCAGGGGCAGAATGCTATAGGTTTGAATATGTCTTCCAAATTTCATGTGTTGATCTCCAACAGTATTGAAGGGTGGGGGGGCTTAAAGAGGTGATTGGGTCGTGATGGCTCTGCCCTTATAAATGGGTTAATCCATTCATGGATTAGTGGGTTACCATGGGAGTGGGACTGGTGGCTTTATGAAAAGAGAAACAGAGCGCTGAGCTAGCACGCTCAGCCCCTGGCCATGGGACTCCCCGTGCCACGTCAGGACTCTGCAGAGTCCCCATCAGCAAGAAGCCCTGACCAGATGCAGCCCTCTGACCTTGGACTTCCCAGCCTCCGACACTGTGAGAAATAAGTTTCTTTATGAATTACCCAGTTTCGGGTGTTCTATTACAACAACAGAAAGTGGACTAAGACAGACACCACTGTGACATTCATATCAAGCAGGAACCCACGGTGTTGCAGAGTCAAAAATCCTTTTAGAGGAGGAAAGCCTGAGGTCATTCAACTGGTTCAAAGTGACCTCAAGAAAGTGCCTCAAGCTCTCTACCATGTTAGAGGGGAATGAGGAACTCTTGAGCCTGCGCACCAACCGAGTGGGGCCTGAGGCTGGTCTGTGCATGCTGATGTGGCCCCGCCGGGATGGGGCGGGTGGGGAGGGTGGGCAGTGGGCATGTGGTGCTGGTGGTTGTTGAGGAAGTACCCAAGACAGAGGGCAGAGCCTCAGCAAAGCTCTAGTTATCCCTGCTCTGTGGGAATGTGGACCCAGGGATTTGAGAAATCACTCGTTTTTATCTGTTGGCAACCAAAGCAGACAAATAAAACAGCTGTGATTTAGAGTGTACTGGCACTGGGTCCTTTCTGTCCCAGCTCTGGGATCATCTTGCCATCCCTGGTGTTGCCTGCCAAGAACGATGTTTAATCACCAGGCAGATTCTGCGAGTTCACGTCCGTGGCGATGAGGCTCTGTAAGAATCAAATGAGATGATTTAATTTTACTTTTAAGCCAAATTGAATTTAAAACAACATTTGTGTACGGGTTAATTATTTGAGTTTAATTTGCAAAATAAATAAGAGTTCCGGGTTCCCCCAGGTCCTTTCCCTCTGCCCCATACTGGACCATGTACCTATTTCCACACGTGACTGATGATTTGCACATTGAATCTCTGTTGGATTGTTCATCTCTCCGATGAGACTATGAACTGATCTCTGGTGCATTCTGGGACTGACCCATATTAGAGAAATCTTTACCAACTGAGGAGCGAGCAGGGGACTGTGGCACCTGCTGGGGGTAGGTGGGGACCAAGTCGCGTACTGGGGAAGTGTGCATTACGGTGCTGGGAAGAAAATGAGGCAGGACCTCTACAGGGGATTGTGAGTGGTTATGGAAAACTTGGGCTGGACTCGAAAGTGTCCTGAAAGGAGATGCTCCTGCAGGCAGCTGTCCCCGAGAGCATTTGAGACCTGTGTAGAGACTGCTGGGAGGGCACAGAGGCTGGCCACTCCTACCAGGAAGTACTTTGTCTGTGGCCAACCTTGGGCGCCTGTGGCAGAGGAACAGACATGATATGTTAGTGTAG